GGTGACTCAGTTGGTTAAGTGTCCAACTCTTGATTTTGGTTCAGGTCATGATCTCAGGGTCATGAGATCAAGCCCTATGTTGGGCTCTGCACTGGGAGTGGAGCTTGCTTTAAGATTCTCTATCCCTCTCCTTCTGCCCCTCCCTCCTCTACCCCACCTCCTGTTCCCATGCTCTCTCTCTCTCTAAAAAAAAAAAAAAAGTGTTTTAAATTATCAATTAACACAGGTTCAAAAATAAAAACCAATGGAACAAAATAAAGTATCTAGTAGTAGATCCACACAGATATGTTCAATTGATTTATGACAAAGACTCACAGCAAGTCAGTGTGAAAAAACTTGTCCTTCACTGGTGTTGGGTCAACTGAATATGCAAATGGAAAAACATACCTAAACCTTGGTTTTATTCAAGATAGATTATAGACTTAAATGTGAAAGCTAAAGAAAAAAACCTGTGGTGCAATTTCTTCACAATCTTGGGTTAGACACAGACTTCCTACACAAGCCACAAAAATCACTATTCATTTTATGTAATTAATGATAATATTTGGGTTTATATATACCATTTCAGTATCTGTTCTATTAGTCTCAGCTGTAAGTAGGATCCTTTTTCTCTCTTTCCTGCCTTTTTTTGTATTAATGAGGCACATTTAATATTATTCCAGTTCCCTGCCAATAGCTTGATAGTTAAATATTCTCTATTCTTTTCGCTGTTTCTCTAGATATTAAAGCACATATTCTGGGCATGCTGGTATCTAATATAAATTAGTACTTCTATCTCTTCACAGACATTTCATGGAACTTAAAACACTTTTACTCCATTTAATACATACTGAATTATTGTTGTCATGTATTTTAATTCTATATGTATTTAAACCCACAGTGGATTATCATTATTGGTCTGCAAAGTTATTATTAATTTCAATTTACCCAAATATATGCCCTCTTTCTTGCTCTTCATTCTTTCCACTATTGTGCTTTCATCTGGGTTCATTCTCTTTATGCCTGAAGAGTTACCTTTAGTGTTTCTTTTTATAGAAATCATCTTATATGACTCATCTTGGTTTCTGTTTGAGAAATGTCTCTATTTTACCTCTACATTTGTGTTTTTCCCCAGCACTTCAAAGATGTCATTCCAGTTTCTTATGCACTGCTTTTAAATTTTTCTTTTTGTTTTCTGATTTCAATAGTTTGAATATGATACCTAAGTACATATTTTTCCTTGTATATATCCTGCTTGGGGTTTGTGGATTCTTTCCAATCAACATTGATACACTGATACCTCCTGTCAGTTTGGGAAAATTCTTAGACATTATCCCTTCAAAATGGATTCTGTCTCCTTATCTTCCTTCTCCCCTCTAAGCCTCCAATTACATATGTTGGCCCTTTCCCTGTTTTCCACGTGTCTCTTCTTACTTTTTTCTCTACTATCCTTTCTCTCTTATGTTTCAAATGTTATACTTCCAACTGTCCTTTCTTCCAGTTAACTGATTCTCTATCCATCTGGGTTCAGTTGGCTGTCAACCCACCTAACTTCTTCATACCAGTTATTTTAAAAAAGATTTATTTTTTATTTGAGAGAGATGGGAGGGGAGGGGCAGAGGGAGAGAGAATCCTCAAGCAGACTCCCTGCTGAGTGTGGAGCTGACTTGGGGCTCCATCCCACCACCCAGGAGATCATGACCTGAGCCAAAACCAAGACTCCAAGGCTCAACTGACAGAACCACTCAGGTGCCCCTTAATATCAGTTATTATATCTTTATTTCTACAACTTCCATTTGTTACTGCCTCCTACTGATGACTGATGGAGAGTTGCATTTTCCGTCTTGACCTATATTCATGAACATATTAATCATATCTCAGACAACTGTTCTTTTATCTGATGCTTTTTTCCTCCTCCTGGTCCTGTTTCTTGATATATATGTAATATTTTAAATTAAAAACCCAATATTTTATATGAAAAAATATAGGTAAGGCTTCTGATTTATGTTATTTTCCTCTAAAGAGGATTCATTTTAGCTTCTGGCAGATTTAGAATGGGGGAAAACCACTCTAACCCCTTCAGAGACTGAAATAATTCCAGATTGGGTTTCAGCATTTAGAGAACCTGATCTAGTTCTGGGGTGTCCTCACTCCTAGGATGGAGCTTTCCAAGAGTCTCAAGAATCTAGTGTTGTATTATTCACCAGGGCTCTCCTTCTTAATAGTCCCTGAGCTCTAATTTTTATTTCCTCAAAATGTAATACTTTCTAAAAACTATACCTGACTTTTGCTTGTATCACTTAAGATATCGCCACACAGCTCAGAGAGAAAAAATGCACAGAATACGGTACTACTTCTCTATGCTTCCTTTTTCTCTGGGATCTGACCTGAAGTCAATTTTTACCTTCGCAGCCTTGTGAGCCTACTGCCAGTTGTTTAGCGAAGACTTTCTGTCTAGCCTTCTAACTGGGAATCTGAAACCTGACCTCTTCTACAGTGTGATGTATGAATTGGCAAAGTCCCTGAGGGCAAATACAGCATGAATTGTTGGACTGCTACAATGAATTTCCCGTCTCTGAGGAAAAGGGTTCCGTTTGCCCAAATCTTCATGACAATGCTCTCATGCTCTTCTTCCTCCTTATGTCTCTCTTTGTCTCTCTCAGAATCTCACTCCTGCTCTAAATATATACATATATATTTGATTTTCTGCGAGCTAATATGTCATAGCCTCAGGCAGAAGCCTGAAGATTTTATTTCTGTGAAATGTGAGCAACTCCAATTGGCCTAAATTGGTCTGTATCTTTCTACTTCCAGCTAAAGAATTTTGGGGAACCTTGTATTTAGGAGATTGGGTATGGCTGAAAGGCACTTATTAAGGAGATAACAGAAAGGAGTATTAGGTTAGAGGGATGGTTCTCTAAGCGGTCCTTGAAGCATCAGCATCATCTGAGCCAGAATTTCAAACTCATTATTTCACAGTTGTCTTTCCTACAGGAATTAAAATACCAATAATGTTGATCAATCCTGACAAAGTAATCCTAAATGCTTCATCTTTTCCCTTTCAAGTCACACTCAGAGCCTCTAAAGGCTACTCTATTCCCCTTGACTTTGCTCTTGTTTTGTTCTGTTTATTCTTGGAGCACAATGCATAACCTATAGTCTTATTATAAATGCATATTCTTGGGCCCCACCCAGCCTACTGAATCAGAATCTTTGGAGATGGGGCCTGGAAAACTGTTTTAACATGTTCACCAGCTAATTTTTATTCATGTTAAAGATTGAAAACCACTGAGCTATCAGAAGAAGCTGGAAGTCAATGATGGAGGTCTTAATCCTGGTATCATTATTAACTTTTTAAATCCTTTTGTGCTCTCAAGGCCTAGCACGGTGCTGCCCATATTTTAATACTCAGAAGACCTGACTGAAGGCAGGACTGTCTGGCTTGATAATTGAGATCATTTAATGAAATTGTTTATCCTTCAGAGAACATCTTCATTTATAAGATGATAAAAATGCTTGTGCATATTTAAAAATACATGGTATAAATTATCTTATCCACTATCTAAATATTCAGAAATCTCAGATAACCATAATTTGTCAGTCACTGATGCTCATAATGATATCACTGAGATGCTACAAAATTAAAAACGTTCAATCACCAAAGAAAGTATACTCAATTATATTTAGATTAGCCTTAGTGTTTTAGGTATGACCAGCATGCTGCCTTTGGAAAAGAAAAGCCAAGACGTCAGGTTGAAAGAGGAAGACAGCATCAGTATCTGTTAGGCTGAACATGTGTGTGTGCTAAATTATTTTTGGAATACCATTAATGTATTCTGAGAAAGCTTTGGGCTGGAAATGCCAATGAGGCACAGTTAAATCCAAAAAGAACTTCCAAGAAATGATATATTAAGCAAGAGTGAAGAACAGCTTGCAGTGAAATGAGAATAGTTGAGGAAGGGGAAATAAGAGCAACAACAACAAACCAAGGAGCCAAAAGTAGAAAAAAATTAAAAATGTCAACAACATTTAACCAACTGAGCCACCCAGGCGCCCAAATGTCAACAACATTTAAAATGAAAAAAAAAAAAAAATTAAAACAAAAACACCCGTACACCAAATCTGATTTCCTAGGAAAAATCACTAACCCCAGAAGATAAAGTGGCTGGGGATCTGGTCCTACCTCTTCCAGCTGCACCATGAGGGTAACATTGTGCCCTTGCTCTGCTGTCAACTTTCCATCTGCAGTGACGATGCGCAGCCCTCGCGGGGCCTTCCCGGGACACTTCTGCGGTTTGGCGGTGTACTGTTCTCTCACTCCGTCCGTGCAGTTATTGGAAACGACTTTCCTATACCTACATGGAGAAAAGCTCAAGTGGTAATCCAGCTCATTACAATTCGGATCACTCCCCATTTTTTAAGCTGGACCTATTACCGTGTAGCCCAGAGCGCTATGAAGAACTACACTTCACAGCACTATGAGGACTAGAGCTAATTCATACAAAGCACCCAACGGAAAGACAAATCATCATAGTAACATACTGTACCTACTGTTAGCACTTTAAGGGAATTCTTTTATTCAGTCACTCAATGAATCATTTCATTTCAGAGCTGTGGGAAATGCACAGTAGTAGAAGGCATGGTCCTGGCCCTCACTATGTTTATAATCTTGAAGTGATATGTGTGGATAATCCAGGAGATACTTTAAAGACTAGATAACTGAGGGTTAGAATGAGTACTATAGATTGCAAGGGAATTTGTGATTCAGACAAAGATTGTTATGGATTATGTAATTTAACATTAGCCGCACAGAGGACGCTATGGTAAGAGTTTTATACAGAATGTTGGCTAAATTTAATAGTTTTTATTCAATATTTTATGAGGGACTATATTGGCTAACTATTGAAAACTCCTATTAAGGAGACCAGTCTGCATATTGAGTAAATCTTCCCTCCTCTTTTGCTTATTTCTTCTTATTTTAGCTTTAATAGGAAAAAAAAAAAAAAAAAGATCATTCTACAAATTTGTCCTATGCAATTTATCAGATTCATAATAAATTAGAATCTGTGGTTTTAGGACAACTCATCTTTAAGACTTTAAGCTTCAATGTTATCTGTTCATCATCCTTTTGAGTGGGGTCCACAGTAACCACTCTGAATACTCATATATCAGACTCCCCAAGCCTGCTTACCTAGAGTGGTAAAGCTCAAAGTGGAAGCAAAGTCTAAGATCTTTCCACTCTTCTAGACCAGAAGTTGAGAAACTTTTAATATAAAGGGCTAGACAGGAAATGGTCTAGCTTTGCCAGCTATATGGTCTTTGTCACTACTCAATTCTTTGTAGCATAGAAGTAGACATGGATAATGCACAAAAGAATGGAGACAGCTGGGTTTCAGTAAAACTTTATTTACAGATATTGGCAGTGTGCCACATATGACCTGCAAACTATACTTTTCCAACCCCTTCAAATCTGGCCAATATCCCTTCCTCTGTCCCTGAGTCTTGGGCTCAACCACCTAAGAGCATGGTTGAGAAAGTCAAATTAAATACTGTCTGGGAAAGTACTCTGAATGCTATGGATCACTACAAGGTCAATTGTTAATATTTAATTCACCTCATAGGGTAATTGTATAAATTAAATGGATTAATGTACACAGAGTATTTAAAACAACCCTGACGATTAGGAAGTGCTTATGAAGTGTTGCCAGTTATTTTTGTTTAATATTATTTCTCCTACCTGTTCATAACCTTCACGGCCTCCAAATGTCCTTAGGATAAGTCATAAATCCCATAACCTTGTCCATGAAGCCCTCCACAAGCTAACTGCACTACATCTCTGAATTCTTTCTCACCAGAAAGCTCATCTGCCCTAGTCAAACCTCTCTTTCAAGCCTCTTGAAAGTACTTATTTTCTTTTGCTCTTCCTGCTTCTGTATCTCCCTACATGCTCTATCAGCTGCCTAAAACTTCCACTTTGAGTTAGAGCTTCTCTCTTCTGTCTCTTCCTGGGATAGTAAAACAGTAATTGAAATAGTAAGAAGTTCATATGTAGAGAGTACTTCCTACATTTGCCACTGTGCTAAGTTCTTAACATGACTTTTGTCATTTATCTTCAAAATATCCCGAACAGTTCTGCTTAAGGAAGGTATTATTATTATTCTCAACATACAGATGAAGAAATTAAGATTCATAGAAGTTAACCAGTTTTCTCAAGATCACCCAGTCAGGACCCCAGACAATTTGTCTCTAGAATATCCTCTTTACCACCACTGTACTGCCTCTTTAAATGGAATGAGATTGTCTCTCCTCTAAACTCTTAAAGGATCCTTAGGATTTATTGATAGGAACCCATTTCTGCCTCGTATGATTGTCTTCCTGCGTGTGACTATGAACTTTAAGTTCCTTGAGGGCATCCTTGTCCCTGCGGACATGCAAAGCTGATAATCAGGGGGTCCACAGTGGGATGACTGTGCCATTTTAAGTGTTCAAATATATGCACAGCAGGTGGTTATTACTACTGCCCCCAAACCTTTCAAGCACCTCCCTCATGAACCAGCTGTGACTAATCCTTATGTTTGGAGTCCCTGCTTCTCTTCACAATCCAGCAACTAAGGAGTTAGCACCCAGCCCTTCAGGCAGCCTGGAACTCTCTGCTCTTGCACTAGGATCCCTACTCATTCCGCTGGTCATTATCAAGCCTGAGCATGTTTAACATCATTCCATCTACTATTTAAGTAAATCCATTGGAGGTGCTTATGAGTGCATGCTGATTAACAGAGAAAATAATGGCAGGTGGGAGAGAGAAGGAAAAAAAAAAAAGGTGCCAGCACTGGAGAATGCTGACATTCTGGTACTAGCAATGGTAGCAAGAAAATGACCAGCAATGTCACATAGTAATTACAGCACCCCAGTGAGTTTGGGCATCAGAAACTCCCTGTGTGTTTCAGGGGCAAGGCGCCATGCAAACTAAAGGTAGCTTATGATTTTTAATCACTCAGCATCCAAGCCCACCTGTGACTCTGTCTTGGCGAGCGGCTCTGGAGGCATGGGCTCACCATCACCACCAGCATCATCAGCTAGAGAACATTCCTTTTGTCTGTCGCTCTTCTGACCAATCATTGCCTCGGGCTTTCCTGAATCCTGCAGCAACAGTTCTGCTTAAATCCTAAGCACGAATCCATCCCCCCCTGGGATTCTGCCACAGAGAAGACTGTTGGTAATTTTTTTAAAACACTCATTAAAAAGCATTCTGAAACCATTTTATTTCCTGGATGAAAATGGCATCACATTAGCCCTGCCAGACCTGTCCCTGAAATTTAGAAGAAAATTGTGTGCAGAAATACAGAGTTCATTTACTCAAGTAAGCACACACCTGCTTTTTCCATTACAGAATGGTTCTATTTTCATCCCAGCAGCTGTCCCTGGGTCTGAGTTACATAAATGAATAATGCATTTAATATGTTATTAAATGGGGCTGCTACCTCCATAATAACAAGGCAACTTATGATTATGTTGGACATAAGCTCTGAATATTACTGGGATGCATTTAGTTGGTAAAGCATTCTTCAGTTCACCAAGAAGAAAAGTGCTTTGTAATGGCAAGGGAGTCTTTGTACAATTACCGAAAAGGAAACATTCTGCAAATGTGCCTTTGATATTAGCGACTGCTCATCAGTAGATAGTGTCTTATTACTTCAACAGCCCCAACTTCAACCATTCTCTTCCTTCCCATCCCGAAACCCCTTTGTCACCTTTTCCTTTTTACCCCCACCTTCTTTGATTCTTCTTCTGCGCTTCCTGCCAGTCTTAGCACAGATCAAGGCCATAGTTTTTCTTTGTGAGTGTAAAACTGGAAAAAAGCCATGAAGGACTTCATAGCCTGTGATTTTGTTATTTAATAGTTTTTTTGGTTTCTCTTGTGATTTGGGGGTGGTGGTGGAATATGGATGTTTATGACTATCCACTGTATGTTAAGGTGACAGCATGGTCTAGCTCAGTAGATCGCAACCCTGTCTGTCCTTTAGATCCACTTGCCAGAACTTTTAAAACAAATGGATGTCAAGATCCGGCTCCCAGGGGTCTTGATTTAATTGAGAATTAATTATGTTATGATTTTATTGAGTGTGTTTTTGTTTTTGTTCTAAGTTCCCGTGGTGATTCTTGTGTGCATCCAGAATTAAAGACCACTGCCCTGGTGGTTAAAACTAGCATTGTAGAACCAAACTGCCTGAGTTTAAATTCAGGTACTTACTGTTTGAAGCTGGGCAGTTACCAAACCTTTCTCTAATGCTTGGGTTCTCTGCCTATCAAATAGGGACAATTATAGAATCCTTTCAACAACATTCTTGGGAGGATTAAATGAGATACTGCATTGAAAAGGGCTTAGCCTGAAATCTGGCACATTGTTAGAAACTTAATAAATACTAAAATATCAGTAATTAGTTAAAAAGTTAGTATTTAAAGCATTAAACATCAACTTGCTATTATACAGCAAGTTCCCAGAAAATAGAAGTGGCACTCTTATTGCCAAGATAATCTTAAGATCAAATCGGACCACGTCAATTCTTTCTTAGATGCATTCACAACTTCCCATGGGATTATTCAAAGAGCATCAGGTTGAAGTTTTAAATACAGTCCGCAATCTCTCCTCAGTGCATTTCTCCAGTTTCAGCTCTTTCCCAACATACTTCCTGAGCCCAGGCCATACTCAAACCTGCATGCCTTCTTTTTTCCTGTGCTGTTCATTCTTTCTGGGATGTTCTTTCCTCCTGTCAAGCTTTTATTCATTCTTTAAAAATCAGATTAGAATACATGTTTCTCTGTGAAGTTGTCTCTTGCCGTTTTAGAGTAGTTATCACACGTCATGTCCAAGCTAGAGCTGGAACTGTAGGTCTTCTTGAAGCAAAGCAGGTCTTACTGTCACTGAGCTATGGTGTCCCTCGTTTGTGCTCACAATGTGAAGAATTTAAATGTTTTATTTTCTTGGATCGTACAACGTGCCTTTGCTTTCAAGGGAAAAGTGCTGTGTTACAACCCTCAACAAAACAAATAATGGAGCAAGGCTTAGGGATAGAGAAGGGGACTAGCTGTGGCTACAGAGTATGACTAAGACTTAAAATCTTCCTAGACCCAATGTGCCCATGTTTCAAAAACAGCAACAACACCAACAAAAACCCTGTGTAGTAGCCTTAACACCTTAACTTAACACCTGTAACAGCCTTAACATTCAGAAAGAATGTGGTTCCATGGCTGACTGAGCAGGTTCTAAGAGTTTCTCTCTTCAAAGGAACAGTTCTCAGGACTTACCCTTTAAAGTGAGTAAGCAACCTTGTGATTAGGAGACCAGGAAGAGACTAGGTGAAGGGAAAAATTTTTCCTTGTATTAAGCAGGGTGGAAGCACAAGTCTTTTATTTTGACTAGTAAATGGAATGTGACTTTATTTTGAATGTCAACTTGATGAAACGGGACATATGGCCACAATAAACTAAATGACTTAAAATCAAGAATCATGAGACTGACTCATGGAATCCACAATCTGAGTCAACGAGTTGTACAACTAATTTATATAAAGAAATTTTCCTTCTTTTTGAGCACCCGCAGTCCTAGGAATCCTAATACTGAGTCTTTCAAAACTGGTCAGGGACATGTCAGAGTCTGAAGGGATAGCAGAGATCATCCAATACGACCCCTCCATTTTTCACATAAGTAAAAGCAGACAGACTTTAGATTTTGCCAAGGTAACATGGGAGGTGATTAGCAGCTCTGGGTCTCTGGACTGAGTTTGGTGTTTCTTGCCAATGTGCCATACCACCTGGATGAGAATAGCCAACACCACTGTCATGGGCAACAACAGCTACATGAGGATATAGGTCTCCACATAGCGACATTCACCTTCTTCTTCAATCCCTGACCCCAATGTCATCCCATGAAAATATGGAAAACCATATCTAAGCAAGGTGCTCTAAAGAGTCAACTTCATAGCCACAAACATTTCTTGAGTGTCTGCTGTGACACTGCATGGCTCTTTGCTGGAGAACCTCCACACGGGCCCCTGCTGTGTTGAATCTGTAAATTATGCAAGTGGTTTCCTTTCTATGGACTGTAAACACATGCACCACTTTTCAGACCGATTATTCTCCACGATGCACACTGACAAATCTGAGCAGATCAGACTGAATATCAAAATCGCCTCCAGGCACAGGAGTGGGGTCATCTGGGAAGACCACAGACAACCCTCAAAGCCCCTGGAAATAGCAACTCTAGGGCAATGAATGGCAGGTTAGCTGGGGTCTCATGTTCTCGTGACTGATACAGAAAGGAGTATGTTTCTAGAAAGCATTTTTATTTTTTTTTATTTTTTATTTTTATTTTAAAGATTTTATTTATTTATTTGACAGAG